AGGGAAGAGAGGAGGGAGAGAGGGAGGGAGGGAGGGAGAGGAGGAGGGAGAGAGGAGGGAGAGGGAGGGAAGAAGGGAGGAGGGAGGGAGGGAGGGAGGGAGAGGGAGAGGAGAGAAGAGAGAGAAGGAGAGAGAGAGAGAGAGAGAGAGGAGAGAGAGAGAGAGAGAGAGAGAGAGAGAGAGAAGAAAGAGAGATAGAGAAGAGAGAGAGAGAGAGAGAAAGAGAGAAACGAGTCAGAGAAAGAGATAAAGAAAGAAGAAAGATAAAGAAGAAAAGGATATCAGGAAGAAGGAGATAAGATAAGTGTTATACTAAATCCCTTAAAGTTAAGTTAAAGTGTTATTACTAAGAATCCCTTAAAGTTAAAGTTGTGTTGTACTAAAAATCGGAAGGTGTTCCTAAAATCCCTTAAAGTTAAAGTGTTATACTAAAATCGGAAGTGTGTGTACTAAAATACCTTTTATGAGAGGGCTGCTTGGAGATACGTGTTGTGGTCCAGGATGTATTGTATGTGTTGTGTTGTTTGTTTGTGTGTGTGTGTTCGTGTGTGTGTGTGTGTGTGTGTGTGTGTGTGTGTTTGTGTGTGTGTGTGTGTGTCTGTGTGTGCGTGCTTCCATTTGGGTATGAAAGATATATTGATTATTTCCCATGCATGTGCCTCTTTTTAAACTTTCTATCGCGTGTATCAGTGCATACATCTCTCTCCCTCTATCTCTCTCCTTCATCTCTCCCTCTATCTCCTCCTTCTCTCTTCTCTCTCCAACGCAGAAGAGAAGTTGCATTTCTCTTCTCTTCCTTGTATCCATTACGATTCCTCCTCCAGACACTCAATCAGGCGGGGCAGCAGAAACAATTCCCTTCCTTAGCATGACAATGGACGCAATCTCGGCTCCGCAACACACTTGGTAAAAGTATAAATTCCTTTTTTTTTTTTTTGGTTTTCTTAGCCGAAAAACGAGTCGTCTCTGCGTCTTTCTCTGCGCTTCGAGTCGTTATTCTTTCGTCTCGTTTCGTCCTCGAGAACAGCGATATGCTCGTGTTATTGATAGTCGTTTTAGATGTGGAGAGAAGGATAGATCGTGTTCAGCTGCGCGGTTTGTCACTGCGAGGCGCCGGTTGTTCGGGGGTCGGAGGAGGCGATGGAGGCGTCGCGAGAGCCACTCTTTCCTCGGGTCTTCTGGGTCCTTCTGCGCCTCCTGCTGTAGTCAGGGACATGTAAAATGAACGCCTCTGTATCCTTCGGTCCACAACCGCCCACCAACCCGGTTCACGCCCACCCATTCGTCCCACGCCACCGACCGCGTTCACGGCCCACCCATTTTCGTCCCACTGCCCACCTACCCGGTCACGCCCATCCATTCGCCACGCCCACGCTACCCGGGGGGTCGGTCGACGGCGGGGAGCGGACGCGCATGTGGGGTCGGCCGGACGGGCCCACCAACCCGGTCCACGCCCCACCCATTCGGTCCCGAGGCGGGCCCAGGGGCGCAAGGGAGGCGCGCGGGGGTGGGTCACGGGCCGCTGGCGCAGGTTGGCGTCGGGCCACGCCCACCAACCCGGGGTGTGTGCGGACGCCCGAGGGGTGGCATGGTCGCCCGGCACGGAGGCGGGCCCGGGGGGGACAACGTGCGTCGTGTGCGAGCGGCGCCACCCAGGTTCGTCGCCGACGCGGCGGGCAGGCCGAGCTCGGCGGTGCGGAGCAGCCGCATGCGGCGAGTGTGCGTGGCGCCGCGGAACGCGGCGGGGGCGGACCGAAGCGCCGGGTTTGGACGGGGCCGCTGTGGCGGAGCGGGCGGCACAGGCCAGTTGGCGGTTGCCCGGACGCCGCACGGCTACGCCGGGCGTTCGAGCGCGCCGATCATTCGGTCCCGGGGGACGCCCCAGGCGCGGGGAGAGCGCCGGTTCGACGCCGGCGGAGGTGTGGGCACATTTTCGGTGCGGCCAGCGGGGGCCGGCGAGCGCGATGTGTCGGCGGCCCCACTCCCACCAACCCGGTTGCAGCGGGGCGCGGCGCCGAAATCCATTCGTTCCACGCCCCCACCCGGTTCACGCCCATCCCATTCGTCCTTCGTTTCCCACTCCCACCATCGTCCACGCCCACATCCCCACGCCCAACAAACCCGTTCACGGCCCATCCATTCGTTCCATCGTTCAACATCCATTCCGCCCACGCCCATCCATTCGCCCCACGCCCACCAACCCGGTTCACGCCCACCCATTCGTCCCACGCCCACCAACCCGGTTCACGCCCATCCATTCGTCCCACGCCCACCAACCCGGTCCCCGCCCATCCATTGTCCCACGCCACCATTCACGCCCATCCATTCGTCCCACGCCCACCTACCCGGTTCACGCCCACCTACCCGGTTCACGCCCATCCATTCGTCCCACGCCCACCTACCCGGTTCACGCCCACCCATTCGTCCCACGCCCATCCATTCGTCCCACGCCCGTCGCCTCGGCCCTCTCACCCTCCCTCTCATCTTTCTCTCCCAATAGAGTGAGAGATTCGGACGCCCAATCAGACCCTTAATTCAAGCCGTATCCAGCTGACTGGGTTGGGTACATGATTCTTGGAATGATTCTGGATTCTGGGACGGCCTGTGTTTGACGTCGGGTGTGTGGGTAAGCGGAGGCGTGAATATACATGTACGGGCTGCTATGTAGATGTTGTGTGTGTGTGTGTGTGTGTGTGTGTGTGTGTGTGTGTGTCTCTCTGTATGTCCCTTTCTGTTTGCCTCTTTATGTCTCTTCTAAATTTGTTTGTTATTTTTCTCTCTTCTCTCTCTCTCTCTCTCTCTTCTCTCTCTCTCTCTCTCTCTCTCTCTCTCTCTCTCTCTCTCTCCCTCTTTCTCTCTTTCTCTCTCTTTCTCTCTCCCCCATTTCTTCCGTCTCTTCTCATCTCTTCTCTCTTTTTCCTCTCTTCTCTTCTCCTCCCTCCTCCCCCCCTCCCCTCCCTCCCCTCCCTCTCCTCTCCCTCTCCCTCTCCCTCTCCCTCTCCCTCTTCCTCTCCTCCTCCCTCCCCTCCCTCCCTCCTCCCTCCCTCTCTCCCTCTCCCTCCCTCTCCCTCCACCCCACCCCTTTCACACACACACATTCGTGCAAAGAAGGCGAGCCCCCATATATGGATTGGCGTACGGGCGGGAATCACAAGCGGAAAGATATCAATTTAATTGTGTCGGGAGATGAGGTGTGACAAAGCTGCAGATGCGAGTATTATTTCCTGGTGATTGCTGTCGGATTCCCCGTCGCCGAGCTGCTAGGCAGGCGAGGCGAGAGCTGAGGGAGAGTCGTCGGGTTGGTTGCCAGGAGGAGGAAAAGGAAGGGGGATATTGAGAAATGACCTAGTCTGCCTCTCTGTCTGTATGTGTCTGTCTGTCTGTCTAGCTGTCTGTCTCTCTGGCTCTCTCTGTCTGGCTGTCTCTTTCTGCCTCTTTCTCTGTCTGTCTGTCTCTCTTCCCTCTCTCTCTCTCTGTCTCTCTCCTCTCCTCCCCCTCCCCCTCCTCCCTCCCTCTCCCTCTCTCCCTCCCTCCCTCCCCCTCACCCCCCTCCCTCTCCCTCACTCATAATCATAAACGGAGTGCCAAGGCATCGGACCCCATCGCACACACACACCCTAGCGTCGCGAAGCCCTCTCCCACCCTTTCCTGAACGCTGCCACGCTCGGCGTTTCCCCGGCGCCGCCCGAGCACCACCACGACCCCGTTGCGATGCCAGGCACGTCGCCACGGAATTAGACCCATAGCGTCTTCGGGCTATACGAGGAGGGGTGAAAAAATACGGGGGGGGGGGCAAAGAGACAAAAGTAGATAAAGTAGAGATAAAGCGGGTACATTTTCCTGGGAGTTTTGCGACTAAGTATATATATGTGCGCGCACGCATGCGCACGCAAACGCGCGCGCGCGTACAAACACGCACACACACAAACAAACAAACAAACACACACACATGCACACACACATAAATACACACACAAACATACACACCACAACACACGCACGCACGCGCGCGCACACGCACACACACACACACGCGCGCGCGCGCGCGCGCACACACAAAATTAGAATTAGCAGATAAAATTCATGCACAAAAGTTAACCTCCCCTTTATGCAGCTTCTTATAACGAACTTTGGCTCTCGAAAAGATAAAGAAGTTATCTGAATGCCAAGATAATGAGACAGACGTCCATGTCCTTCCCCTCCCTGCCCCCACACCTCCCTCCTCCCCCTCCCCTCCCTGCGCCCTCACTCCTCCTCCCCCTCCCCTCCCTGCGCCATCACTCCCTTCTCACCTGCGCCCTCACTCCCTCCCCCTCTCAGTCCTCGCCCCTCATTCTGTTTCCTCCCTCCCTCCTCCCCTCTCACCCCCTCCTTCCTCCCTCCTCAGCCCAAACCCCTGAGCCTCGTCCACTCTACCCCTCACCCCTTGCCCCCCTTTCCTTCCCCTTGCCCTCCTTACCTTCCCCCTCACCCTCTCCGCCTCGCTTCCCCTTCCCTCACCCGCCTTACCTTCCCCCTCACCCTCTCCCTCGCTTCCCTTCCCCCACCCCTCGCCCCCCAGCCCCTCGCTCCCCTTCCCCTCACCCCCTCACCCCTCACCCCCCACAGCCCCTTTCCCTCGCTTCCCCTCACCCCTCACTTCCCCTCCTTACCTTCCCCTTCCCTCACTTCCCCTCCTTACCTTCTCCCTGCCCTCTCCTCGCTTCCCCTTCCTCTCACCCCTCACTCCCCTCCTTACCTCCCCCTGCCCCTCACCTCGCTTCCCCCCTTACCTTCCCCCTGCCCTCTCCCCTCGCTTCCCCTTCTCTCAACACTTCCCCTTCCTCTCACCCCTCACTTCCCCTCCTTACCTTCCCCCTGCCCTCACCCCTCACTTCCCCTCCTTACCTTCCCCCTGCCCTCACTCCTCTTCCTCCTTACCTTCCCCGCCCCACCCCGCCCTCCCTGCCCACCCCCCCCTCCCTCCCCTTTCTTCCTTTCTTACCCCTAACTTGCCCTCCCCCCCCCCCGGTCTTTGTTTTGTCCTCAAGATCCTCATTGGAGGTTCATTATCCTCATTATATTATTGGGGAATGTCGTCTCCAATTCTCTTGAATCCATTGTATTGTTTCTTTATTAATGCCGGTTTCTTTATCATTTCATCTTAGATGTTATGTTAAACCTTGTTGTTGTTGACGAATTTCATAACTGTTATTGTGTTATGCAGATTCAATCATCATTATTGAGATTGTTATCATTACATGGCTATCAGTACTTTGCTGTTATCAGCGTTGTTATTCATTTTTTTGATGAATCATTATCGTCATTATTATTACTTATGTCATTATCATTATCAGTAGTACTAATAGTACTGCTACTACTAGCGCTGTGATGCTACCATTATTATCATTACAATTACTACTACTACTACTACTACTATTATTATTATTATTATTATTATTATTATTATATTATTATTTTATTATTATTATTATTATTATTATTATTGTTACTACTACAATTACTCTACTATCATCATTATTACCATTGTTATCATTATTATTATGCTAGTGTTGTTACTGTTTTTATCATCATTACTATAATTATTGTTGTTATTTATGTTATAACATTGTTATTACTAATGTTATTATCATACCACTCTCATTATGATTATTGATATTACTGTCATACTCATGTCTTCTCGTTACTCTTATTGTTATAATTATATCGCAATTTTGATTATGTCTCGCCTGTCTGTCCGTTCGCATGTTGAAATGTATAATTTACGCCAGAAGATATTCTGTGTGACTGCGGACTTCAAGTTTCTTCCTTTTAAAGTAAGATTGGCAACTTATGTCTTGTGATTGCGGATTTGAAGTCAGTTTATGGTGGTGTAAAATAGGGTAATTATTGAATGATTAAAGAATCACACACACACACACACACATATATGCACATACACACACACACACACTCACACTCACACACACACACACACACACACTCACACTCACACTCACACACACTCACACTCACACTCACACTCACACACACACACTCACACCACACACACACTCACACTCACTCACTCAGTCACTCACTCACTCACTCACACACATAAATGCATATGCATATGGATTCGTAGTTAGATTTATGAAAGCGACATTTTCATTCGTATGTAAACTAGGGTAAGTTGGGTAACGATGAATATTTTCTTTTTTTACGTTCTTTTCGTTCTTGGAGCGTCGTCCTGATAGAATCCGGAATAGAAAATGCTCCGAGATCAAAGTTTTGCAAATTGACTTACCTCTCTTTGAGTCTCCCCCCCCTCCCCTCCTCCCCACACACACACACACCACTTCAGCATCTTCAGTCCAGAGCCTCCTCTACCCCCAACCCCCCCTACCCATACCGTCTCGTCTCCTAGACCCCCTCCCTGACCCCCAACCCTCCCCCCCCTACACAGACCCCCATCCTCTTCCTCTTCCTCCTATCCACTCTCCCTGCCCTCCCGAGGAGGGACAGGAGGAGGGAGGGAGAGGGAGGGAGGGAGGAGGAAGAGAATGGGAGAGAGCGAAGATGGGAGATGAGATGGAGAAGTGAGGAAGGGAGAAAGGAAAGAAAGAGAGAAGAGGGAGAGACGGGATGAGGAAGGGAGAGGGAAGACCAGAGGAGAGGGGCACCTCTAGAGAGAGAGAGGAGAGATGAGAGATAGATGAGAGAGAGATGATGAGAGAGGAGAGAGAGACGAGAGAGACAGGGAGAGACAGACATGAGGAGAGAGAGAGAGAGAAGAGAGGAGATAGAGAGAGGAGAGGAGAGAGAGAGAGAGAGAGAGAGAGAGAGAGAGAGAGAGAGAGAGAGAGATGAGAGAAAGAAAAGAAAGAGAAAGCGAGAGAGAGATGAGGAGGAGAGTGGAGACAAGAGAGATGAAGAGAGAGAGAGAGAGAGAGGAGAAGAGAGAGAGATGAGAGAGAGAGAGAGAGAGAGAAAAGAGAAAAAAGAAGAGAGAGAAGAGAGAGAGAGAGAGATTTCTTGTAAGATTCTGCAGGCATCCTTCCTCCTCCTTGGCCTCGCGATTCGAATGCATGCAAACTTTTTTCATGGCTCGGATTTTTTTTTTTTTTTTTTTTTTTTTTTTTTTTTTTTTTTTTGGCCATAGCGGTTCTTTTTACTTTTTTTTCTATTATCTTGTTTTTTTTTCGTGATTGCTTCCTCGTTTTCTTATGTCAGTCTTATCTATAAAGATATTTTACTCGTGGATGGCTGTGTGGTGATCTACAACACACACACATACATTACACACACAAACAATTCACTCAATTACAAGCACGCACGCACTCAAGTACGTACGTACACACGCACACACACACATACACACGTAGGATTTCTGCTGAATAAAAAAAAGATCCGGAGTAACAGATATGTTAGTTTATATGATTTTTATTATTAGTTTTTACTATTTACTTTATTTTTTTTTTGCCCGTGTCCTATGTCTTCTCCGAAAACTGATTTATAAAT